ACCGACATGTCGGTCTAGCTGTCCGTGCTCAAATCGCACTTCTAAATCAGTGTCGTATCGCTTCAGGCAATGGTTGTGATGACACTAGCCCGCAGTTGGATAAATAGTACTTGAGTGCTAGGGGTGAAATCAAGGAGCATATGAACGCGTTGTTCGAACTTGAAACTTTATGATGGATCATGTTCCTTTCACTCATAACCAGTGCTCCATTGAACAACATTTATTCACTAACACGAAGTCCACTGTCCTGCATATTTGCATGACACGGTTTTGTCGTGAAGAGCTAAGGAAAACTGGTTGCACTTGATTTTCAACTCTCCTTATAAGTCTTCATTAGTCTTCATGAAATACAATCTCTCGCTATTGTGTGACCCTTTTCACCTCATGTATAATAAGTGCAGAATTTTTCTGTTATGCATTTGGCGTAAGCAAGCTGACAGTTGCTTTCTAAAACCTCTTATCATCCTTTGACAATGAATATCAGTACTCACCACCCAACAGCCATGTTTCCCTCTCACATCAATAAGGCATGTGGAGCAAACGCACAAATTTCAATGCATTCGGCAAAACTATTTTGATGACACTTTTCAACTCCCTCACCATTCCTTATTAGTTGTTATCACTTTCTATAATCTCTCTTTGCTCCACCATCCCATCATGTGTAATATCCTAAGTCACACCGCTGCTGTGATCACCGTTCTGAATTTCCGGTGAAAAGCACAGAAATACTCGTCAACTGACACCCACAGCCGATTATATACGGTGGAAAATTGGTATACAGGGGTGGCCAAAAAAAAGAGACACTTCACTCCACATTTCAGACAGCATTAATCACACTTTGCTAGAATCAAATCGACTGCCCCCAACTCAGTATTGAAGAGCACATTCTAATCTATCTAAAGTTACATGACAGCCTTCTACACCGACGACATCAGAAGATTTTCCCACGGAAACATGGTTCACGGTACGAGCTCAACGAGGTCGTCGAGGTACCATAGACCATTACGACGTCCCTGAAACGCTGGTCAAAAGCGGTCTTGCATAGTCACAGCTAGTGTCTCTAGAAGCTATTCACCAGTTAATCCGATTGAAGAAATTATGTAGCAGCTTCAGGCCGGAGCGATTACGGTAAGCCTCGTTGAGCTCGACGGTGACGGCAGATGACGTCATATTCTGAAGACGGTGAGGGCAGTGAAGGAGGGCCTGCTTCTGTTATGGGGGACACCTAAGGAATATTCTGCCGTAAAACTTTCATTAACATCGGCATCCTGTGCGACGAAAAGTTCGATGATGTGCGCCATGGGCAAAGTGTCTCTTTTTTTGGCCACCCCTGTATATAATTTCTTGTATTATGCGAGTTTTGCTTGCTCACGCTCTAATATACTTTCACAAACTTCGAGCAGTCAACTTGCACTCAATCCAGCAATTCCTGAGGTCAACACCGTGCTAGGTAGAGACGAAAACATTTATTACGAAGTGAAACTTTTTGTAGTTACTCATGTGACATGCATAAAAAACGACCACGAAACATGTTGATTATGCACCCGCGTTCAATCATAGTTACACACAGTTTACAGGGACAGCAAATGCGGTTTAATATCTCGTGAAATCGCTTCGACCGTCTGAAGAGTAAGCGCAGCGCAGATGTGACCAACTTGGAAGCATTTGTCCAAAGGTAGACCGTGGACCAGTCCAGCAAGGATACCACTGTTGAGGCTGAAATTACATTACAGTTGATCAGTTACAGAAGCTGAAGTGTTCTGTATGCAAACATCTCACCTGTCGCCGGCTCCTGATACAGAAACGACCTTTTCTGGCTCTAGTGGGGCAGAGAAGTGTGACGCAGATAGGCTCCCGTCAGGTTTCCTGAAGAGCAGAATCACTTGTCTAGTCATGTAACACAGTGCTATCATGATGACTGGCGCACACTTCGTTAGCCGGAGGAAAAAATCAGCTGTAGCGAATACACAAACGTGATGGGTCAATCTAACGAGCTTACGCGAGTCGGGGTTTGAGGCCAGCGTCTTCATCATTCCTTACATGACGTGATGGTATTTGCATACAATTTTCAACCTCGGATTAGTAATTGAAGCGTGAACTATACCTCCATTCATATTAGGAAAGCGAGAGAAACTGCCCGATGAGCTCAGGTGGGATCTATTTCTTCCATAGTCTGAGTGAAGCGTCCGGACTTTGTTATGACAGCTACGAGCACTTCCGCGTTCCTGATTCACAAAATCTGTTTGCAAACTCCCGTCAAATGTGCTGTGCTACTTAAGTTTTCTCCTACGCGCTCAGAATCTCCTCCTAGTGGTACCGTTCGAATGATGAAGAAGTGGAAATCTTATTCCAGTGATTGCGCAGGTTTTTTACCTTTTTTCTTTATCTCCCGATCCACTCAAAACCTCGGCATTCGCTTTCTTGTCCCAGACTTGAGTTGATACTTGGATGTGCTCTTGAACAATATCACAACTACTACTACATTTGTTTTTACTCATTTTGAGAACCTTGTTACAACTCATGTATCTCCAGCCTTTCTTTCACCTTTACCCAGGTGCTTCCCGTTTGTGTTACCGGTATCAATCAAGTTCAAGTTAGTCTTTTTTGATAGTCATAACTGACACTTTCGAAGTTTTTACAGTTTTTTCTATTTGTTTATTCATGCATTTCTTGCCCAAAGAGGACGCATTGCTTCAATACTCGTGTGCGATACCATCATAGCACGCACTGATTGTGCAGCAGAATCCTTTCACGACAAACCAATAGGAAAAACTCACAGAAAATGAGGAATAAATAGCGATTTACAGGCTTTCCTGTAAGTATTGCACTACATTTTGAGCTGATCATATGTATGTGTTTGGTTTTTCTTCGAAGGTTGGCAGAGCTTTACACCCCGCAAGCTCTTGTGAATATCCTTGTCAAAGTTTACGGTTTAAAGTTCTATCTACATCTCAGAATGCGCCTTAGCTTCAACAGAGGACCTAATCGCTCATACAGCTAGCTCGGACATTCTGTAATAAACATAGCACTTCTACGAAATCTTATCCGCTCCGCGACCTATGGCATGCTATGGAGAAGAACCACGAATGTAGTCCTAGTTGCGGCTGCCCCGTAAGTTCTGCTGTCCTGGATTTCACGAAGAGAATTAGGAAGCGGATATGTACCCGAGCCGTCCTAAGAAAGGTGACCATAAAACTGAAGTTCACAAACAGTTTATGAGGAGAGTGGTCATGTAGCAATTGCACACATACCATTATAAGCTGCAGAAGCACCACTGCTCTTATCGAACGGGAGGAGCACAGCAGAGACAAAAAGTTCAAAGAGCTGGATGTCAAGGGCCGAATAAAAGCTAATGTGTGGGCACCGTATGCATTGACGTCAAAATTGAACTCGTGGAGCAACAATATTCAAACTACAAGGATGCTCGAAGGTCCTGAAGAAACCAATGAAGGAGAAAGGAATATTTGCTCAAAGCGGCAGCCAATCCTTATCATGGTGTCATATAGTCGCTCAACACCACTGTGTAGAAAGGAATAATACTCGGCACTGATGCCTAACTAACGGAAGTTTCGTTTCGTCATCTGCTTAAAAGGTAAATAGCCACTTTGACGAGGAATGATGTTCTTTTCAATAGAACGAAGCTTCTGCGTAGGAGGCAAAAATCATTTAGAGCGGTGTTATGTTACTCTTCCCACTTTTACATTCCTCAAAAAAATGGATTTCCCGTCCCTCGATTCCAACGTGCACTACCATCCTCTGTGGGCTGTACTAGGGGACAGAAACTGCAGTGAACATTGCACCCACACGGATAAGCGAAAGCGTTTTTATGAGAAGTTTAGAGGAGGACACGGCACAGTATGGTTGCGTTCGAAGTACTGCGAGCCACACTCACAACTGTAGGGGAACATATGAATGAATGTCATTCTTTCCTATATGTAAACGTATGGTCAAAGACTGTGAGGAACTTCTGAATGATGCATCTACTTTAACAGAAACATAAGAAATCTGGTGCAGTATTTATAGGACATCCTGAAAAATATTAGGCTGGTTCACAAGTCGTGCAACAAATTTCATTTGATGTTAGAGAAATTTTAAGAGAACTCCTGAAAATCCGCAACATGTTTACTGACGTAGCATTCACATCATGCAATTTCAGCCAACCGTCCAGCTTGTTGTCTCGCTACTTGTTATGAATACTACACCGAGTACTGCTTGGAATGTTCTGCAAGTCATGCTACACCAAGGATTCAGCCAGAAGATGGGCGAGGGCACGCTCTCTCAATTCACGGTGCACCGGCGCTTCACTCTGCTCAGCGTTGACTTTTTTATTTGAAAATAATCCACACTCCAACCACCCCGTGACTGGCAATCACGATGCTCTATCTGACGCTGTTGAAAAGGGATCTGGATAGAGTATCGATCATTTGCTAGAGCGATTCCGATGCGACAAGGAGACAGCACTGTGGCATCTCCAAAGACTTGTGAAGATCCGAAAATGTAGAGTTTGGTCCCCACGTGCCTTGAGCCCGATTCAGCTCCAAACACGATCTGACATCGTTCATGTTCAAGTCGACTTACTATGGATTCTACGATTGACCATCCATCACATTTGCCGAAGATGAGGAGTGGGTACAGTTGCTAACAAATGAACAAGCGGCGGTAGTCCAGCTCAAACGCTTCGGGAGTTCTTACTGCTAAGTTCAACCTCGTCCAAGTAGGGCCTTCTCGGATTTTTGGTGGAACACGGGAGGAGTTAAGCTCTGGAAACCCCTACGTGTAGATGTCGCAGTCAACGCGAAAGTCAACTATCCACAGCTCGAATGCAACGCTTTTAATACGAAAGAAAAACAAGGCAAAGTTTGCTTTTTGTATGACACCGTTGAACCACCTCTTGCTAAGAAAATTCAGGAAAATTTTGAGACTCTGGGACGGAGAGTTCTTCCGTATCCACCTTATAGCCCTGACCTCGTGCCAAATAATGCCCTGCTTTCCCTCTCCAAACCATCTCCTAGAGAAGAAATCTCATCCTAACCATGATGATGTCAAAATCGACATCTGATTCTTTCAGAATTCAGTGGAGTTCTACAAGGGAGGCATCGAACAGCTTCTAGTGCGTTGGCAATAGGTTGTAGATATTGATGGTGGGTGTTATGCTGGATGAGTGGAAAAAGGTAATAAAATGTTAAAATCAAAATATGCCATTGTTGCAAGACTTATGGACCAACCTAATAATTACTATGGGACTTGAGGAAGGGGCTGTCGTTGTCGCTGTCGCACGTGTTGTCTGCTCCCTCCCAATGAGATAGTGGTGACGTTAGTTGAAGACATGGAAGCCGTGACTGGACCTGGGTGAGGTGTGGCCAGTTCAGAAGTTGGGGCTTTATAAATCACTTGACATGAATGAGAAGCGAAATCTACTAGCTCACACTGCCTTGCCGGGATGGTGCAGGGATGCAGCGCGTCGCCGCTGCTACAGGCTCTCACTAACTTCTAGTCTTATGCATACCATTTTGACTCCTATAACCTACTAAACGGCACTTAGAAATAAAAGGAAAGTTGAAAGTCTGAGAGAAGGCCGCTGCAGGAATCATCTTTTTGCCACCAGCTTGATTCTATACGACGTTGGCTTTATTTTCATGAGCACCGCTTTTCAGCAATGACTGCAGAAGCCAAGCCAAAAGAAATTCGGTCACACTAGAAATAAATCAGAGTCCGCTGATATTTAGCGAGTGATTCTAACGCCAACAGAAACATGATGGTTTCTTTTTCTCCAGGAATTCCCTGCTCTAACTCGCTGTATTTAGTATTTTCTTTGCTACGTCATTCCAACGGTAACTTGTATTCTCAAGTGCCATATCCATACCTCAAAAAAACACAATCTAGTAAAAGAAATTTCTATGGCTGATGTACCTGAAAATGATTGCTGTCCCATTTGAACCAAGAGTTATGACGAGCAATTCCAGATTGTACATAAGCTGTGGATTGGAGTACACGAATTCGCAAACATGATATGGTGAACCTATTACGTTTTCTGGAAACGAAATAGTGGATCAGATCCGAATGCAAAAGATGTTTACCAATTCCTACCTGGAATCTCGAGCCCACTCCTGCGCACCATCTGACGGAATTCGTTGGCGTTTGGCGATATGACTTGAATTCGCTCAATGCCGTCAAATTCGAATATTTTGCATAACTTTGCAATGTCCGTGGGTTCAAACCAAGCTGAATGGCGGTATTTTTAAGAATACTTGGGTTTATATGGAAAAGCCTCTGGCCTCAACATTCCCGTATAGTTCACCTTATGGTGAGACCCTTTCCGAGCTTTGCTTTCGAGGAATACTTTAGCCTTAACAAATGAAGAAAAGGGTCCAAAAAAAGCGAAAGCCTTGGCTTTTGGACCAAGATCACATTATAGTAGTAAGCAAGTCGCATTTCTAGTAATGCAACTACTTTAGAGCAAACAGTTAGACCAAGAGACCACCACTAAAGGAGAAGCTGATGTTAAGCGCACGCAGAATGGTCTAATCGTATTAAAATTGGAAGTCATATTTTGTGTACCATTTTCATGCAGAAACTCGCGACGAACTGTATCTTATTCCGTCGTTTTGTTTCCAGAGCGATAGAGTTCACACATGATCACACAAATTTAGCAATTTTCAGCAACAGTCTATAATGAAAATGGATGATTTTTTGGCACATAATCAACACTTTGAGATCCACGCCCACATGCAGCCTCAAACTCTCATCGTAGTTCCACCGACTCTGATGATATTGCTCAGAAGCTTGAACTGTTTCCTTTACTGTCCATGCCATACTATGCATACGGCCCACTACGGCGTACTATTGTGTTGTCTGATAAGCAAATGTTTCCTTTCGGACGGAAATTCTCCTCTGATTCCCACATTTTACATTATGTTGTATACATTAGAAATGGAAATGTCTGCTCTGCGTCAAATTTTACTTCTTCTCCGCATAAATGTGAGCTTGCAAAATTCTAGGTTCGCACATAAGGAGGTCCAGTCGACGAGCTGCGAGTCAGCCACATCGGCATGTGCTTCCGGTAGCCCTGTTTTGCCAAAAGAAATTGAGAAATTGATCCATGAGGTACCATACACTTGATTATGACCTCTTCTGAATAGCCCGGCTGTCCAAGAAGCCTTATCGTGTTTCTTTTCGAATTTTCTTTTTTTTTTGTTGAATGCGGTGAATGAGCTGTTCTTTGAACTGAAAACTTTCATCTTAAACGCCATCCTTTCACGTCATACTTTATGAAAATTTGTGAACTTTTTCTGCCCTATTCATGCATACGCTTCGCTTCTTTTTGATATGGACTGAGTCGAATTTTATGCCTGCATCACAAGGTGTCCAGTGCACGGGGATTCCCACATTATTTGGAGGAATTTCCCCTTGAAAGACGAGAAAATAAGTCAAACACACATTCCAGGATTGGCTATGACTTCACAGTAAGCACAATGTCTGTTTCCGAACGTCCCAGCGATGAAAAATTCTGGAAACACAAAATTTAAAAAAAAGAGCTACATGACTCTCTGGACAACCTGATAGTGAAATTTTCGAAGATGGCGTGATTAATATAGTCCGCTACTGGTCAGTTTTTCTCAGTTGCAACAGAGTTAGAGCTAGTTACCGATTCCGCTGATTTTCGTCGACTGGACCTCCCAATTCGCAGGCTAGATTTGAACAACTTTGTGTTGAATGTATTATAGAAGAGAGAGAATGTACTCGGAACTGGCAGTTCTCTCTCGAAGTGTTTGCAACATAATGTATTGGGTGAGTAATAAGTAGGTGCCGATTTTTTTCTTATCTGCGTCATTCTTCCCGTAGAAATGTATGTGTCGTTCCCAGAAGAGCGTCGATGTGGCCATCTTACTATCTTTTCATATTTTGAAATTCAAGTTCTCCCAGTGAAAAGGTGCCATCATTTAAACTCATATCCTTCACTGTCTAATTTACCAATTTCATGAAGGGCGAACCGTTTAGCGAGCGAACCCTATTGGAATGTCTTTGAAGCTGAAGGACAAGACAGAGCATTAAAGGCAAAAGTCAGGCTCGTGTTTGGGCATTATGGCGCCTGAAATTGAGTGTAGAGATGGGAGGTGGAACGACAGTGAAGAAAAAACGCAAAGAAACCGTCGACAAGACCGAAATCGAAACCCCTTCCTTCTAGCAGTGAAGGAGGCTTGCTCGGGGGAGAGCCACGTCCAAACGAGTTTTCCGGATATGCCAGCCGTTCCATCGGTTGATACGGCAATCAACCTAGCTGATCTCACACGTTAGGCCAGCCACGCACCACATCCCGCGGTGGGCGGGACCAGCTGATGAAACGAACCCATCGCTGTAAGTAGTAGGCCAGAGGCCTTGACGGCGCGCAATCTCGAGTCAGGAGTGTGGCATCACCCCTCTGAGCGCATTCCTGGAAATATTAGTGATGGAAAGGCCTTCTATGGTCACCTAATCCTGACTCGTGGCTTTAAGAGTGGTTCGGGAAGTTTCGCCAAAATGACTACAGCGTCGAAAGATCAACCATATCACGAGACTTATGGCTCGCAAATGTACATATAGAACGCATCCAAGAGCTTTTTGTAGGCAACCAGTGAGACAGGACCCGTCAAACATCGTGGACTTCCAGTCTTCCCAATGCACTATGAGCCATGCTATCCGGACCACGGGAATTGACTAGCAGGAAGACGGAATCCCCAAGAGCACGATGAGGTTTTTGAAGTACACGTGTGAATGCTTACCAAAGTTTGCTTTTGAGGAGTCCCAATTTGATTGGCTTGACAAGAGATCACTGGTTATGAAGTGAACAGCCTATTCAAGCAATACACGGAGGCATCATTGGCGACACAGTACAGAAAGCTCCAAGATGTGACCTTCACTCAGCCTGAACCGCTCTCCAATTTTTAAATTGCGTCACTACAGTTCTGAACCGATTCCACAGCTGCTAACGCAGATTCCAGTGCTTGCAGATTCCTAGTGTAGATTTGCTTCAGATATCGCGAAGTGAGGATTCCAGTAGATGGAACTGTTCAACACGTGGCAACTCATAACCCACATGTCACGAGCGGAACTCACAATACCATACAGAAGCTCAACTCCGTGGTTCCTCCCCCAAAGAGAAAAGAAAAGACTGACGCTCTCGAGAAATCATCATCGACAAGAAAAGCGTTTTACCTGTTCTTTGGCGCTTACTGTGAAACTCACGTCTCAATGCAACGGAAAACAAGATTGCTTAAAATCCAACTTTGCATTTTACTTTCCAGAAATGCTCTTTCGTCCTTAGTGTAAGGTATAAGTGTCAAGTTTAAGTGTGGATGTAAGGGAACAAGTGAATTGAATATGAGCTATTATTGTATAGTTATTCAGTATGATTGTTGGCCACCCTTGCATAAGCCGTACTGTCTTTACCGATTCACAATACGATTCGCTTCCACCGCCTGCATTACTAGAGGACTCCTGCTCGCACGAAAAATAGAAGTGAAGTCTGCGCTGCAAAGGAGATTTTCCGAAGAGGAAAAAAGCTGCGTTGTTCTTCAATCGCAACTGTAGGAGCAGTTAGTAGCAGGGTGAAAATTGGTCGCAGATTCGTCGACGACTCGTCGAGGATTTTCGCCAGTTTAGCTACTTCTCCGCGTGTGCATTCACTCTTGGCACTGTTCTCTACGGTACAAAACTATGGCAGAGGAATTCCTCGACCGTCATTGACCCTGGTTGCTAGACAACAGAAGTGCGACGATCCCTTGGTGATTTGCCCGCATAAATTTCGAGAGCCAGCATTCATTTTTTGCCAACAAAATCAATGCCAAACTTAGCGCAGTCATCGTATATCTTGCTTGAACGGTATAATTTATGTTATAAAACACAAAGAGGCACCAAAATTTATTTCAAAAGAGTCCCAAAAGTTCACAAAATATTCAAAAAACTCCAAAATTCCAAAAAACACGAAAAGTTTCAAAAGAACTCCTTTGAAATCTTCTGCTATATTTCGGTGTTTAACACCTTCTTCAGGCATGTGTATGCCTCAGCCAAGGATTTAGCTGCCCTTACGGGAGCCGCGCCGTTGGAGTGGAATTAATGGTGTTAAACACCGAAATATAGCAGAAGATTTCAAAGGAGTTCTTTTGAAACTTTTCGTGTTTTTTGGAATTTTGGAGTTTTTCGAATTTTGTGAACTTTTGGAATTCTTTTGAAATAAATTTTGGTGCCTCTTTGTGTTTTATAACATTTAGGTCCTGATGAGGCTCCGGGACAGCACAATACTGGGAGGTATAATTTATACTAACCTTTTCTGTTGTAAAATGTGGACAATTCAACCACTCTTTCAATAGTTTGAGTCGGAATGTTGCCGTCGAACAAAATGAAATCTGCAGATGATAGAAGACCTTCATGGGATGAGATCTGAAAATTTCAGTGAAGGGATTTGGATATGGTATAAATACCTAATGAATCGTACCACTTCTGGAGAAATCTCCTTCACAATGTCTCCAATAGCACTGATGCCAAATCGCACTTCGCCACCAACATTCACTGACATATATTTGGCTGTTGGCAAGTCTTTTATGACCTCCACATTCGAAGAATCCTAGAACTAATGGCATACGAATCTGCGAAACATTGTTCCTGCTGCATGAATTAATTAATTAATTGATGAGTAAAATTATATCACGGTTTTTTACGACTGAAGCTATCGCATATTAAGCTCTAAGTCTGTAAATCTGTCCATCCGTGTCTGTCTGGGTTTATGAATTTCATAACTGCCTCAAGAAGCACCTGCGGAGTCCAGGTCAACTTTGGGATGGGTGGGGTATGAGCAGTGAAGCACCAAGCAGGAAAGGCGCGAGGTCCCGCTCGGGAGACGTTTATTCTATCGGTGGGTGGGGCGCACACTGATGCATGAATTTCAAAATTCGTAGTGCATAAGGGGAGTGCCCAGAGGCCGACGAAAGCGAAAGAAGAAAGGAGCAGACGGATTTAGTCCCTCATTGTTGAATAATTATGCACTTGGGTGGGAGGAGCCAAAGGTGGTACTTTTATTTGCCTCAATCAGTTGCTGATACCACGTATGGCTGAAGCTTTAGGTGTGGAACCGATGTGGTAAATTCGTGAATGATTATGGAGCCGGCCATTTTAAAAAGACACCTTCAGAATTTGGAGCAATTCTACGGTAGCGACGGCATGCGGTCTATGTAAACACTTCGATAGAAGGTAAGTGACTTACAATATGTGGGACAGCTGTCTAGAAAGAATCGTCCTTCCTGATCATCTCCAATTGCCGAGATAAAAGACACATCACATCCCAGCCTGCAAGTGATAAAACCCATTCATTTTCCAGTAGATTTCAGTGCATACAGAAACTTTAAGGCAATGCTCGAGCGAAGGCAGCCTAAAACTCAGTTTTTAACCGCTTTGGTGACATTGGCGCTCAACATTGGGTGACACCCAAAATTTTTCGCGAGAATTAGGCTCGTTTTGTTCGTTTTGTTTGCTTTCTTCGACTGTTTGAAACTGTTTGTGCGCAGCACCTTATACGGAGAACAGTGCGCCAATTGGTAATGGAGAAATTTTTTCAAAGAAATAGTCACGACTGTAAAAAAAATAAACAATAAGGTGCCGTGTTATCAGGGTCAACCCTGCGTTGCGCAAATTCCAAATTTTTACGACCCCCTTCCTTTTCGGAGGGTATCGGTACGACCCCCCCCCGTATTAACTATTATGTCTTTCACATAATTTAATGCTCATCATTGATGTGTGGGCAGTCACCAACATGGAGAAGTGGTGGACCGTGGTCAATCCGCGCGCTTTGTCTCGCTCAGAGGAGGGAATCGAGGCAAATGAAGTTTTATTCATTAAATAGAAGGAATTTCCAAATTTTTGCGTAAACCAATACATCATTTTAATCGTAAAGATTTCTACTTTCAGAAACCCTACCAATTTTTTCGATCTCTCAATTTCCTTATTTTATAATCTGAAAAACTAAACCTTGTACAGTGCGTTTCAAAAGTATGTGCACACCCTCAAAATTCACGTTTGAAAGGGAACCATGAGGTTTCGTGCTATGAAATCCTTCTCAATCGATTTCTCGTAGTCGATAACCTATCAATGGAAGCAAAGCAGATAATATCGCCTCACTTTCGGAAAAATTTTTTGGATGAAATTTTTTTCTTTGTTTCAAAAGTATGTGCACACTTGAAGAAGATCAGATTTTGGCGCCGAATTTTCCACCGATTTCAATCCGACTTTGCTGTTTTCATTTCGTCATCATGTCAATTCGCGCCATACTTCTTCCTGAAGATGAGCAAGCTCAGATCAAGGTTCTGCATGATAATGAACGTTCCAATCTAGAAATCGCACGATAACTTGGTCGTTCTCCTTAATGCATTCGAAGATTTATCTGGCACCCTGATAATTATACTCAGCACACACTCCGCTCCATCCACGATCCTTGACTGCTCAGAACAACAAAAGAGTAGCCCACATCCTGTCGGATTCTTCATTGACAGTCCGAGCTCAGATTTTTATTCCAGCCTCGAAAATGACCACTAAGCCCCTCATCCGCTCAAATGAATACACCACTCGACAGACGCTGAGAAAGGCTACTCACTTCAAGGCCCAGCACAAGTTAGCCACATTGGAGTCTGCTCGTACAGACATGGCAACATAGGATAGGACACCGGGCGAAGACACGGTTTTTCGAGAATTTCCTATTTTCAAAACAAGCAACTTTTATGACTTTCTCTCCTCAGGTAATCTTAACTCATGGAAAGAGTTCGATCTTGACGGGCCGGGTGGATTTTGCTACTACTGGAGAGGCTTGGCCGTGAGTCGCTCGTGCTCTCGAGAAGGAATTTCGGAAGAGGCCCGTTGATGGGTCTGCGGCGGTTTCGCAATCAGCGGAAATTCAGAAGTTGCCGTTCCATTATTGCGTATGAACTGTAAAGAATACCAAGCAGTGCTCCAATGTCACCTGTTGCCCTTCCTTAGCGAAGCGGAGCGAAAATTGCATTTTTAGCAACAGGACCACGTGTCTTTCGATGCTTCGCAATCTACCAAAGAATGGCCTTAACCAAATGGTGCTGAAGCGATAGATTGGCTTGTGTGTCCTCCTTACTGCAACCCTATAGGGAGCCCTTGATCAAGGCGTTAACTTTAGCAACCGGCAGTATAATACCGCGGATGAACTGAAGGCGGCGGTAGAGGCTATTTGGGCCGACAGCGACGAAACAGCTATGCCAAACGTGGTTCAGATTATGCCGGACAGGATGTTTGAGCTAATTAGAAACTCTGGAGGCCCCACTGATTTCTAATCTCAGCTATGTTTTTGTCTTTTGTTAAGTGTGCACATACTTTTGAAACAAAGAAAAAAATTTCATCCAAAATTTTTTTCGAAAGTGAGGCGATATTATCTGCTTTGCTTCCATTGATAGGTTATCGACTACGAGAAATCGATTGAGAAGGATTTCATAGCACGAAACCTCATGGTTCCCTTTCAAACGTGAATTTTGAGGGTGTGCACATACTTTTGAAACGCACTGTAGAATTACTTGATCAAATTTTTTCTTCCTAAAAAGTATTTGAAATGTTGCGGATGTTCAATATTTCAAAAAATCGTCCCGTTGTTCCGTTTTTTGTGCACACGCGAGTTTTCGACATTCAAACATTCATAACTTTCTTCATATCAACTTTTTGCAGATGTCTAAGGCTAATTAGAAACTAGAAGATTAGAGCTTTCGAATAAGTGCTAAAACTTTTTGAAATAATCACTCGCTCAAAAAATAGTCCCGTTGTCCTTGATTTTTTTCAAGCCATTTTCCTGGACCGCGACTATGCAGTCTTTAAAGGCCCATAACTTCCTTTAAATTAATGTGATGAGAAGCGGTAAAGATTGTTAGAATCACTCGAAGAGTACTTCATAACAACTGTGAAATTTTCCTGAAATTCTTTCTTCTGCCTCAATTTTCCTAAGGGGTCTCTAGAATTCAATTCAGCAAATTCGCTACACTTTGTTCCGCTTAGATTTGATTTGAAAGCATCGAAATTCTCTTCAGGAAGTTTGTCTGCTTACGGCCGCTGACAGAGAAGGCGTTTTTATGGGAAAACGCCTGCTCGGGTATACGCCGTGCACCTGTCTGTGGCAGAAGTCGCACTCGCATTTGAAAGTCCTCCATTTTCCTGAAGAAGGTGTTAGTATCGTGATTGAGTTGCATTGTACTGTTATATGGTACTCTTGTTTCACTTCCCCATGAACTGCTCTACACTTTGTTCTCCTTGGGATTTCAGGAATGTTCGATCATCGAAGACAGACCATGTTTTTGCACTACGCTGTAACAAAGTTTTTGGCTATTGTAATCTTGATCTATGCTGTCGAGCGAAAGCGCCGTCCGTGTATTAAGGATAATAATGGCTGATAGTGAGACTTATAATGCTCTGCATGCTCTAATGCTCCCATGGAGCTCTTGTCTGTGTGACTCTCCGACAGCTGCACGGTGCAGAGCTCCTGGAGAACATTAGAGCGTGAAAGTGCACTGCCGGGCACTTTTCAAGCCGTCCTGCATCCTGCGTCCTGTGTGTTACACGCACAACGTGCTGTCGTCAATGCGTTGAACATAGCGATTGTTATTAGAAATATTCCACTGAATCCAAGTTTGGGTATGTACAGCTCAAAAACCACATGTTTTACGCTCAAAAACCGGCGGATGTTGAGTTGAGTCACTAATCTTATGAGGTGTAGGCAACAGGATGGTTATAACGCCAATCCACGTTGGCCCAGATCGCCGTGCAGCGGTACATTAACGGAGCGCCGGGCGCCTCACCACTAGACGCGGAGCGTGTTCGAGAGAGAAAATGAAGAGAGAAAAGGAGAAATGGAATTCGAGCACATATATAGAAAACCGATGACACGTAACGTCGCGCACCCCAGTGCCTGCGTCCCAACATCAAAAGCTACGGTTATATCGCCATATTCTCCTAAACTTATGATCTTATGGGTGACAAGAGGCGCCGGCGCCTGCAAGATCGCTCTGCTCTCCTGCGGTGAAAAGAACCACCGCGCAATATAGTCGACATGTCACGCAGGCGGTCGTAATTTTTGAAGTGCTTTTCTCAAGTATAAGATACAAGTTCATAATAGCCAACGCACTGGTACTACTCTTGGCAAAAAGGGTGCGTCGTACTGAAATGCAGATCCTGGGGTGAAAAGGTAAATTATTCGAGTTAGCACTGCCAGTTCTCATGAGCCAAACAAGGAGATCGGTTTGATGGTACATTATTTGTAAAGTTTGAGACGAACGATGTTTCGACAGTTCCGGCGACTCTTTGTAGATACTCGTGCAGATGATAAGCCGCTGCATCAAGATGAATTTTTTTGGAAAAAGATCGCGGTTCCATGCGGTAGACGAGCGGAAAATCGCCTTGAAAGAGAAGCAAGAAATATGAGGAGTGACTTGCCTAGAAAGAGCATCGGCATGATTTCTACCTACTCCACCACAGCGCTGCTTGAATTCACCTGGGTAAGAACCACCGTCATCCTGAAACAAACTGAAGTTCGAGCCTCATTCAAGCTCCGCTTTTCAGGAATAAACCATATTTTGAAAAGCAAGGCCCAATTAAACCCTATTCTTGTGATTTTTATGGAGATCCAATGTGTTTTCCTTTTGAAAAGGCTTACCTTCACGTTTTCGTTACTGATTGCCTCTACATCTACGATTGTTGCTCCAACGACGACCTGCAAAGATCGTTTGAACTAACTAAGAAGAGCAAAAGAATGTTTGCAAGGCTGAGCCTATCGAAACAGTACTACGACTCTACAATTTTTGGCCGTTTCTTCGTCGTGGAGTCTTGTTGCGTTGGTTTCTTGACTACTGAAGTGCGAGGTAATCCTGAATCCGATAGAAGTCTCGCTAGTCGGCCACCTATTCGAGCGTTGTTCTGCAATAGGCCGATATCTGAAAGAGAAGAAAAATGATTGAAGCTGACCACTTCCTGATTCATTATGTCACTCACTTATTCTCATTGATTCCCCACCGGTCAGTTGGTTTACTCGCGCCAGTAGAAATGGAGTGACATCTTTCGAAACGATATTCTTACTCCTGAAAAGTATCTGTTTTCAGAGGCATGGGCTTGCTGGAGCACGAGTACTCTCCAGAGTGTCCTTTAAGCTTCCTGACGAACTGGAGAACGCGCCAGTTCATGCTTCGATGTCACTTACGTGGATAATCACCCGACGCTTGCCCCATCAACCTTTTGGAGCTGACCCTACTTATATGACGCCTCCCCGTTTCCTTCAAAAAACGGACCCAGTCATCCCTTCGGTTGCGAAAAACAGCGTTCACAGCGTTTCTGAAATCAATCTTTTTCCATGCCCACAAAATAGGGGCGGAAGTACATAGTAGTATTCGGAATTCGGCACTTTTAGACTGGGCCGTGCTTTAGAGTTTTTCTCAGAAATTTAGAGCATTATTGAATTGAATGCGCATTGGTGTATGCAAAGGAAAGAATCGAAGTTTTTGTCAATATTTTCATCCTCCAAGACAACGGGTACCAACTGAGCGATCATGAAACTAGGAGGCCTTGTTTGACGGAGTGAATTAAGAACTGAGAGGTAGTGCGGTCACCATATGTATACTGTGGGTATAGATTTGGATTCACGTGCTTATTTTACGGCGGCTACTATAGTAATTGCAGTTCCCACAGGGGTTAAGGTTTTTAGTTGGTTGGCTACGTTGTTTGGAATAAAAATAAATTTTCCACCTTTATTGTTGTGGGTGCTCAACCCACAGCAGCGCTACTGCTCTATCTTTAGGCAATTTATATCATCTTACTTGGCTTCGTCCAGTGCCACTTGAACAGCGTTTTCGATAATTTTTCCATCGCCTTGTAACTCGTCAGGAATAGGGCAAGCCAGAATAGTCCCCGCTTCCAAGTCGCAAATTTTCCGACATCTCTAGAAGTCGAATCAATTGTGAATATTCGGAACTCTAGAAATGGCAATCATACCTATGTTCCTAACGACCTCGTTGAGATCTTCGGTGCAATATTGTCCTCTGGCTTGCGTTTCTTGGGTGAAAAAGCCAGGGAAAACGTTGCGCTTGCCGAAAACAATGCAGTTTACTGAATGTGTTTCCTGAAAGAAGGACAAACCTCGAGCATAAAAGCCGAAAACTCGAAAGAATCCACAAAAAAGAACAGCGACTTCTTACAAGAAATTCGACTGTCTTTGGGATATCCAGAATGCTCTTCACTCCTGCACAGACCACAGTCACAGGTGTACGCATCAGTTCGATAAGATCAGCTGAGATGTCCATGGCTGAAAACAACAGGACCCTTCTAAACCCCTTTTTGGCAGTGCTGAACTTTCTACCAATTTTTAAAACAAACTTTGATCAACTCCACGATGGACACCTCCGATACCACCAGTTGCAAAAACCCGAATTCCAGCCATGTGAGCAAGGTACATGGTGGCTGCTACAGTTGTTCCTCCAATGACACCCTTAAATAGCAGAGAAAGTGGGGCTACTTGTAGGCTTCCACTATACATAGACACTGATAGAAGTTCGCATAATTGGACCTTCACCAGTAAAATGTTTTGTCTCACAAACGTGTACTCCCTTTCAAAAAACGAGAAGAGCGTCGGGTGCAGACCATACACCACAAGTGACGACGGCCTCCACAAAATGTAAATGTTTTCTGCCAATGAAATGATTAGCCTGTTGCAGTTGTATTCTATCAGTTGTCACTAATTACAACTATCATTTATCAATAAATATCAACTATCATTTACCAAAAATCAGCTATCACTATGAACCACTACTAACCAGATTTACTTGGAGGCCGTCGTCACTTGTGGTGTATGGTCTGCACCCGACGTTCTCTTTTTTTGATTTTTTCAATCTACGACTATGCTTTCCCATGGGCCAGAACTATTAAATATGTGCGATTCTACATACTAGAAGTCGGCCATTTACCTTATTAAGGGCATGTGCGATGTCTCTACGAGACACCTTCACCGCTTCCTGGGACTCGGCTATTCGGGCCAATTGCTCATTTGAAAGACCAATATGAATCCGTCCATCAAGTAGAGCGATGGTTGCTGGCTCACTGCCTTCACTTCGTACAGTATCCTCTAGCAATTTAGCTGTCCTGAAGTATTATCTGTGTAGTGATGAATAACTCAGCAACTGGTTGACTTCGTAAGACACCTTCATTTTATTTAGTTTTGTGGAAAACTATCAAGACTAGGGAAGATTCTCTGTTAACAGGCTTCTTAACAGGCTGTACCCACACACTATAGCACATACCTGATTCTCTATTTAGCTAATTTGACCAAACGGATATGCAATATGTATTAGGTTTTCCCATAAGTGAAGCCGTTTTCTTTCAATTGGGACATTATTACTAGAATCTCACGCCTCTGCATCAGCTCAGACACCATTCGGAAGAGATTCACCTGCTCTTCAAAACAGTATTATACGTTCCGCTTCCACAGTCCTTGCAGAGACCTTGAACTTAAAGGCAAACCTCGGGATAAAACTGGTGTGTAAGAGCGCACCATAGTGATGGATGAGCTGCAAGTGAACTAAAAGTGGAAAAGAAAGCAAGAAAAGCCATCGGAAACGCTAAAATTAAGGCCTTGACCTCCAGTAAGGTTGGATGTAGTACGACAGCGAGAGAAGGCAATCACAGAGGACATGAGAGAACACGCCGTTCGAGAGAGCGCGCTGATCTCCACATCAATCGCGGTGGGTGGGAAGCGTTGCAATGACGGCCGATGGTTGCAGCCCCTTAACGATTAGCGCCCTAACCGCGCATTTTGTGCGACGGGCATGGCACGCTTTCTGTAGGGAAGGACACTACAAGTCCCTCACGGTATCCTTCCTACTACTGAGACTAATCCCGAGGCTTGCCTTTAAGGTCTGCGTGATGGAAGTTCCGATCAACGGAGATCAGCCGAACTGACAACCAGCTCTAACTTCATTTTTCTCCAAGATTGTTGAGAGCAAATCTGATTGAGTTCAAAATGCATGTCTGATTGATTTCATCACCATTTGGGAAGATTTTTTGAAGTGATGTGGCCATTCTCGTAAATCGAGCCAGTTTCAGTGTGCCTGTAATCCTGCCAAATTCAAGAAATGAAGCTAAAAAAATATTGCTGAGAAGAGCTTGAGAAAATAAGCGGAAATTGCACGATTAAAAAAATTCCATTTTGAGAACCGCTCCGGCTAGCGTTTAGCCACTGTAACAAAATGTGCAGCGAAACAACAAAACTTCCTCGTCAATGATTTCGGAATGGGCAGAAGAATGCAGGTTCGTGATTATGAGAACATCACCATCAAAGAGATAATGTTACAGTCAGTTGGTCGCGTTAAGTTGATTTTACATGTGTGGTCAAGCCTATCAGAATAAAAAACACTTTGATGTTGCAGCAGCAGTGAATCTCTCTCGATTAAAACTCTGCTTGTTGTGACATGATGTAAAAAAACTATAAATTCAGTGAAAAATTGTCCCTTCCAAGAACAACGCCTTTACGTATAGGACAGCCTAGTACATACTTGGAACGACGAAACTCACCTTATAACCGCAATACTGTCTCTCATCAGATCATCGGGTCTGCAACCTTTCAACTTTGAAATAGGGAACAGGGAAAAGAAATCAACGAAATTCATTTCCCGCGTTTTCACTTTTCGCCATTAATTTGAAACACATCCTACCGAAGAAATAATAATGAACAGCGGTCATGAGGGCGAAAGCTGAGCATCTAATCAAAAAGTTTGGGAAACAGGGAGATCTCACTTGTGTATTCGTGTTTTTTGGTAGTTTCTTACAGTTAAAGTTAAAACAGTTTACAGTCAAAACAAGTTCAACGTAGAAGCTCATAGTTACACAGGGAGGAAGCAAGTGAATTGATGGTATGTTCCACTATCTTATATGCGCCATACATTCAAAGCTTTATGAATTAGTTGACTCAGATCAGTGGAGAAGATGCCTCACAGCATTTTTGCTTGCTGTATTCTTAGTTCTATAGTTATTACTACTTATGAAAAAGGAAGTACTGTTTCTCATAGCTCTAGAGCTCGTTCGTTGAAAAAATCGCACCTTCTCTAATCTCTCTCCCTCATTTTGCCCTCATCTGTATACAGATATAAGGCTCCCTTCTCCCGCTATTCTTCTTTCTCGGGTGTCATTTCGCATTCAACGTTGTCTGCATCGTTTCCTTTATATTTCCTTTATTTTTATACTTCTTCCTACGTGAATTTCATGCGACCTTTATTTCCTTGATTATCTCAGATGCGTCTCATAAATAAGTGATAATCTGCTGATATGCAAGATTAAAGGCAATAAGAAAAATGACGCAGAGCATTAACTATATAACTAATCTCACACAGCTAAACCGTATTATTTAAAAAATAAGTGATTAGCGCCAATCCGTAGATTACTCGTCTACGCATACGCGACTGTCATACCGTAATCCGTGCATTCAAATGAGGTGGTCAGGGATATCAATTTTAATGAACGTGAGACCTTTCGCGGCGCAGGGCGCTTTACAAAAGATCTAATTATGCTCCACGGAGAGTAGTCAGCCACATCCTACACTATACTCCTACTGTAAGTGCCTGCTCCATGCGTTGGCCTTCTTTCTTCGCTTCAACCTCCTCCTTTGAAGTAAAGAGGCAAAGCATGAAGTTCGCGTTCCCAACGCCACCTATCGTGGATTCTCGCTAGCTCCCAAAATCAAAGCGAAGCAGGAGAACAGCATTTGTAGACTGAGCCTCCGAAAAGGGAAGAAATCGACGGTAATTGCTTCTTTCGCGCGATGGCTGGCTTCGCTACTTTAGTAAGGACGCTCTCCTCCAGTGTGAAGCAGGGTGAATAACGGTCGAGGAATTCCTCGACCATCGCTCTCTGCTGTGCGAGAGTAGTGCCGAGAGTGAATGTACGCGCGGAGAGCACAGACGGCTCGCGCATGGCGAGTGTGAATGTCCGCGCGGAGAACGTAAAGGATCAGGCGAAAATCCTCGACGTGCCGTTGAGGAATCCTCGAGCGATATTCACCCTTGTCTGAAGTGAAGGTGTCATTTTGCGAGTTTAGAGAGCCAATGTTAGTTGTCACATTCGCACTATCTGCCGTCTCAGCGTTCATTTTCAGAGTTGACTACACCAGACCGCCTTCGAAGGCAAGCTTCATTAGAACCTTCATGGGGTTTTTGTGGCTGAAAAGGAACGTGGGTGTGGTGTTTTGCGACCAATCCACCTATTTTCATTTTTACTTCATTGTTGATTTCCGACACATAGTCGAAAGCAAGCGAAACTGCTAATAACCCTTGAATACACATTGCATACTGATCGCATGAGTGGTGGTTGCAGCCCCTAATAGTCAATTCCTCCATTGATACAATAGGCGGGTTAAAGAAGTGGAGAACGTAATCCTACTCTTACGATCTTTCCGAAAGAATCTAAACAACTCGGCGCTTTTGTCCAATGCTGGTCGACCAATTACTTTTTTTTCTTTCTTTGCCTTATCTCTAAGAACTATAAATCCCCGATGTAATGGTGAATTCTAGCAAAATTAGTTCACTCGTTTATTTACTTACTCGAGATTGTGAGGATATGGTAAACCATGAGTGATTACAGTGCTCTCGAGAGCGACAACACCTTTCCTGGAGGCTAAAGCTGAACGCACAGCAGCGGAAACAACGACCTGCGGCGGTAGACCATGCAGCCGTCGACACAATAGCATAGAAAGACGACTGATACCCATTACCTTAACTTTCCTGAAATCTTGTACGGCAATAGATTATACTGTGGTTCTACACGTGAGCGAATTTTCCAGAACTACTCAGAACATACTTGTGAGTCGGAAATAAATACCAAACACAACCACAGTCAGCAGTGGGAAAGCAATGAGAAAGTAATGAAAGTAAGAAAGGAAACAATGGAGAGCATGCTGCGCGGTCCACTCACGATTCTTTCTGTTCTTTTTTCTAGAAACACACTTACATGGAAGGTCGCTCTTACGTAAAGTTTGAGCTCTTCTTGTCTAAGATTCTTCAAGAACTTTGACGCACTCTGATGAGAGGAGTGCGCACATAGTTAGTCTAGAATCTATGTTTCGTAATACTACCCCTTACTATTTGCTGAACGACGTCTACTGCATTTTGAATGCCAAGGTATCATTTGCAACCAAGAAAAAGTCCTCATTAAGCTTTGGAATCGGGCATGAAAACAAAACATTTACAAATATCATTTCCCAAATCACTATATTTCTCAACGTCTCCTGAATCTCCCTTTAAGAGCAAAGCCACAATCTCCAACTTCGTCGGATACTCCCATCAACCCTACGAATGCCTTCACAAAAAGGAAGGAACTTTGACTTTCAAGCAGCAGCCGAATCTTATCAATCATAGATTAGGACATGGGTCTCCACCACCGATCGCTAACTCACCAGCTCGCTTTTAAAATGATATATCACAAATTTGATTTTGGACCATAGCTAAGGATTCTCGTGCAATGCTCATCTGTTACTACAATGATATACTACCACTTTGCGGCGTAACGATCAAATTTCAATTGACCCATGCTTCTGCACAATGGTGAGGCATAATGTTTTGTTTATTTGATACGCTAAATGGCACTCTTTGCCGATTTCTACATACTCAAACGTCAACCTCTCATATCCTCTTGCTTCGAATCATGCTTGACGATCGTATGATGGGCGTGTTGGAGCCCAGTCCAAACCCTACGTTGGTAACACGAGTACCAACGGGGGTCTAACTGGTTTAAGCCTTGGAGGTGGGGGGCTCGACATATCATCGCTGGTCGCGACATTTTCTACTATCGCCCTCCCCTTTATCATAGATTTGTCTGGTAACGAAGGAATATTCTAGCAGATTGGAAGTTGTTTACGCTATATAAAGTTATTATAATTGATAGTAGAGCATCTGTAAGCCAGTTCCTTCTAAATGAGCTTTCAATCGAATCAGCGAATCAGAAGCGCGGCCGAGGCATGGCGCACACCAAGGCAGGGTATGCCAGTGCAAGCGCATGCTCGAAGCATTCTAACACATCCTATGGTCAACACGATATTGTTTTCCCTGGAGGTTGCGGCCAGTGAAACCTAAAAAAACCCGCGTTTCTTAAGAAAATGGCTTGAAGAATGCCCCTCAAAAAAAGTAACAACGGGACTAATTTTTGAACTACTGACTTTTCAGGAACGTTTGGGTGCTTTTAGAAAGCTTGAATCCTGTAGTTTGTCATACCGTGTTCAGCTTCCCAAATGAATGAGTTTGAAGGAAGTTATGATCGTTTGAAGGTTGAAAAGTCGCGGTTCCAGAAAAATAGTTCCGCAAACCCCCCAAAAAAGTAACAACGGGACTAATTTTTGAACTACTGATCTTTCAGGAACGCTTGGGTGCTCGTTAGAAAGCTTGAATCCTGTAGTTTATTATACGTGTTCAGCTTCCCAAATGAATGACTTTGAAGGAAGTTATGATCGTTTGAAGGTCAAAAAGTCGCTTTGCACAGAAAAAAGTAACAACGTACTAAATTTTTATTAAATTAACTTTCGAAGAATTTTTAGACATGATTGGAGAGAGAATAATTTGAATTTTTCAAATCAAATCACTTCGGCGCAAAAGCTCGAATATGAAGAAAGTTATAGCCCTAGAAAGAGGAAGGTAAAAATTGTAGTGCAATTCATTTCTTGCTCAATAACTTAATTATTTCAGATTGTTTAAGAACAAATCCGCTCTACTTAAGAAGGATGACCTCGGTGATCCAGAATCCACCTCCGTCTTCCGAGAACCTGAAATTTTACAAGGAAAAATTCCTCTACTTCTCAATTTCCCCTTTCGACACCTGTTCCCGATCAACAAACGCGCCTCCATTGCAGTCACCCAGGGCGCGATCCACCACGTTCAAAACGCGGTCAATACGCGTTTGGGTCGTCGGGGGGGGTCGTACCAAATCGCTCACGAAGGGGGGGGGGTAAGAAAAATCCAAAAAGTACCAACGATAGGACCGGCC